ATCAAATGTGAATCATAACTATTGTATGAATGTATGACCAAATTTTGACCATTATATTAAAAGAACGGATGGTTATGATCAACAATGGCATAATGGTAATTAAATGGAAAAAAAAGTAATTACTTTTTTTTATTGAAGCCACAAGAAGGGTGAATTGGACATTTTAGTTTTAAGCAAATCAGGTAAGGGCGGATTTTAAGGATATTTTTTTGACTGTTATTTTGTCACGTATTCGTTTTACTTTTTATCCGATTTTTAATCAATTTCAATTGCAATGAACATTCTTGAAGAATGTGGTGTTATATCCTAAACTTTAACTTGATTTTTTAGGGGAATAAAGATTAATAATTGGTTTGAATTAACAAAGAATCAAATATTCTTGCAGAATTACAATAATGATATATTTCCATTGTAGAGAGCATTTTTGAAGAATATAGATTATTTGTGGTTCAATAAAAAAAACAACATTCTTGAAATAAATAAACATTCTATAAAAATAGAAGAATAAGACAAGAATTATAAGTGTATAAATGAAATTCTTGAAGAATAAGACATAAATTATAAATTCATAACTTACATTTTTGAAGAATTATTTAATATTCTTGAAAGAATAAAAGACATGCTCTAGGAATAATACATGAAAAAAAATACAAATACATGAAACATTTTTTTTCTGTACATGCTTGATCTGGAACTCTATTTTTATATATTTTATTCTTCAAGAATGTTGTTGTATTCTTAAAGAATATGTGAATGGGGAGATTTCAATATTGCTTGTACTGCTTTGCTTCGGTGGGCATCAATGGGTGTGATCAACTTCTTGTACCTCTTGCTCTCATAATCTTCAAATACATCCTAAGTTTTTAACCAACAAAACCCAATTAAAACATTAAAAGATATTAAAAAAATGAAGCTCATGGTTTTCAAATATATACATAGATTTACAAAACAGAAGTGAGACTGTGATACAGTTTTCAAATATATGCACTTGCAAAATAAATATATGCACATAAGCACTTTGTACATGTATACATGCATTTATGTAAACAAAAAACACTTCATGGTTAATTGGAGATAAATATGAACATATGCATTTATGAAAACGAAAAAAAAAACAATTCACAGTTAAATGGAGATAAATATAATTGGCTGGTTCATAATATATAACATAGGCTTTGTTTAATAAAACCACTTCTAAATACTATTAAAGTATAACTGAAATCATAAGATAAAACCATTTCTAAATATTATTAAAGTATAACTAAAATCATAAAGTAAAATCTAAAAACACTAACTATCTAATACTAAATTACATTTAACAATTGTTCTCCAAACTTGCTGCATATATTTACTCTTTTATCAAAATTCCAATTCCTCACCTGATACTTTCCATGAAAAATAAAATGTCACTGAACCAAATACTTAAGAATTGATATGTAGTGGAAAGATATATAAATACATATATCAAGTTTCTGAAATCGAATGATAGCAACTTCACATGAAATATGAAAAATATCAATAACCACCATCTTACAACAACACAAATGTATTGGATCTTGAAATTTATTGTAACAATCCCCTGGTTAGGATAAAAATGTAAACAAAAACACCAAAAACTTTATTGTAAAAAATCATGATTAATTCATATTATCATGTGCTTTACAGTTACGATTTACCTTAAATAACATATGTTAATTTATATTTATAGATGTACTTAGGTTGTTGCGAAACCACTCCTCCAAAAGCCACAATAGCCAGTTCAGTTCCAAGAGATATGGGTATAAGTTTACATATATTATAAACTAAGGAGAGCTTTGACCTCCAATTCCAAAAAACAAGTCAACATATATTGTATTCATGTTTTCTGGATTCAAGTTGAAGGCAACAGTTAATGCTCTTGAAAAAAAATATTGGGACGACAAGCTACAGATTAGGTACAAGCCTAATCATAGAAGCATCTTAATATAAGTAATAAAGGTAAAATGACTAAAGTAACTTCATGTTGGATGAGATTTTATTCTGTGTGCAAATTGGACCAATATCATTGACAAAAATGTAAAAAGAAACAACATAAATTACTCAAAAGTTAATGTCAAGAAAAAAAGAACTTACTAATGGTGGTGGTGACAAAAAAAATGCATAATTATAAGAGCAAATCATTGAACAGTTGGCAGACGTTAATCAAACGCAAAAAAAGAGAGAGAGAAAATTGTGACTTTTGCCCTCCAAAAATTAAACTCCAATCATCATTGTTCCAGAGAAAAAAAAAAACAAAAAAACAGGCCAATGCATTGCAATTCCTTCGATGACCTCCAGATCTATACATGATCGAGGTTTGAAGTTATAAAGATTGTGACATGAAGAAGAAGGTTGTGGTGTTGTTGGTTAAAAAACAAAATCGTGATGATAGGTTTGACGAATCTGTGATGCTGGATGGTTAGGGTTTAAGCCGATGTTAGGCATGGTTGTGAACTTGTGATGATGTTGAACGAAACACAAATGACATGGTGATGAGACGTTCTTGTGATTTGAATTTCCAAGATAAAAGGATTTTAATTTGATGACAATTATTCAACTTTCCTAAATTATATGTTTTTAAAATTGGTTATCTAATTAATTCTTCAATTGATTTTACTATAATACCCCTACGAAATGATTGGTTGAGAATAAGCCTTACATTCACACAATATATAAGGTTTATACTTGAACCTAATAGTTGAAATCTTTATAAATATATGTTTTTTTAAATATAACAATAATGTTGTTGTTAAATTTGATATAATAATTTGTATACTAAATTGATATAATATATTGATTATTTTGAATTATATGATGATATATACATCTACTATAACTGGATAATGTCAACCGTTTGAATAAATTCTACCCGCGAGTTACTCATGAATAAAATTAAATATAATATATGGTTTAATGTTATTTATAGTTGTTGTTATTGTTAATTAATTTTTTAAAATTTATTAGTTTAAAGTTTTAATTTCTATCCTTATAATTATTTAAAACATCAAACATTGTTTTTTGATTTTAAAGGTAACAATATAATCATTTATATAGAGTTATTGTTATTGTAAGTTATTTTAAACTACTTATTTGAAAACCTTTAACAATTATACAAATATCTTTAGGAAAATTTTTAGTTAAATTGAGATTACAATTTAGTTTTTGTATTTAGCACTACAATTTATCACTTTTAACTATTCACAAAATATGCATTGGGATTTTTAAGTGGAACTGAAATTTATATTTAAGTTGACACTGTAATGTTATATTTAAATTAACAATTTAAGTATGTTGTCCAAACTGTTCAAAAGTTGTAGCTTTAAATTGATAATGGTTATATACAACAACATATTAAATCTAATAAATTAAGTATAATATGTTCAAAGTTAAAGACATAACTTTATAAGTAGAAGTAAATATATTATTTTATATTGAAAATAGTTTATTTATGATTACACTTTAGGTTTGATATTTATTTAACCTTATTAACCAACTTATAATTATTATTAAAAAAACACTACAATTTATCACTTTTAACTATTTACAAAATATTATTTGGGTTGTTTGAGTTAAACTAAAATTTATATTTAAGTTGATCCTGTAATGTTATATTTAAATTTATAATTTAAGTATTTTATACAAATTGTTCAAAAGTTGTAGATATAGAATGATAATGGTTTACATCCAACAATATATTAAAACTAATACATTAAGAATAATATGTTAAAAGTTAAAAAACATAACTTTATAAGTAGTAGTAAAAATATTCTTTTAATAATATTGAAATTTAGTTTGTATATGATTACACTTTATGTTTGATATTTATTTAATCTTATTAACCAAC